TCCCGTAAAGATTTACACCCTCGGAAACCCTGTACAGGGTCGCTATGGGTCGGACCCGACTCGATGGCACTTAACAACAACAACAACAACATTTGATACATAGATTTTATACAAAAAATGAGTCTTTATTAAGGCTGCTTATGTACAAACAGACACCTCATGGGATTTGGTTCCTTGGTTTGGGAGGTTCATGGTTATACTTTCATGTGACATCACAGTTAATTGGCCTCATAATGCTCTTCGAGCTTCTGTTCTATATCTTACTTTTGTGTAGTGACTGAAGTCTTACACAGTTGCAAGAGTCTTCCAAGGCACATTCACCTGGAACAATAGAAGAAGAAGGAGAGTCAGCAATAGAATATTCATAAACCACTGCTCCTCTGCGGGATGGTCCCAGCTGCCATTACTCAATATCTTCATCAAAGATCCCTGATCAAAAGGGAGAAAGTATAGAGTAGAATTTCAAATTTTCATGAACTCTAGGAATTTTGGCTATGGGGGATAGCTAAACCCCTCAAACTATTGCTGTGATGTAATCTCTAAATCTTAAACCAAAAAATATCCCTTGACATCTTCATAAAACCAAGCAACAGTATAAGCCTACACTCTTTTGAGATCACAATTATGGGATCAAATTGACAATAGAAATCTGAACAATTAGTTAGGAACCTGAGGGAGCAATGAGTGTGTGTTAGTGAGGGCAACAATGGTTGCACAAGAGGAAGAATGTAATCAATGTCCCTAAATTAAATATGCAAAAACTATTGAATTGGTGTATGTTTTGCTTTGTAAATTCTCAACAGCAATAACAAAATAAATAATTTAAGAAAAAGAATAGCCATAATCAGAAAAGTAATATGTGTTTTATTTCTCCAATGTCCTTCATTCAATGTATATTAGTAACACTCAACACATTTTTTAAATGCTTCATCAATTGTTTTAGGTGTCTTCAAGATTAACCCCTTAATCACACTAAAACTTTTATTGCTGTTGTTGTTAAGATCCATTGAGTAGGTTACATACAATTCATAAGGACCCTGTACAAGATTATCAAGGAGTGTCTGGTGGGTTTGGACTAACAACTTTGCAGTTAGTAGTCCAGTGTTTAGTAGTCTTGCAGTTAGTAGTCTATAGCTTAGTACAAAATAACAGTAGTACAAAAAACGCCATATTTTGTTTAGAATTTTACAGTTTTGGCTAACTTAGTGACTTTCCAGAGAAGCTCATTACTTTGTGGAAGAGCAAAGTCATAAAGGGAGAATCCAGAAAATCATATATTCACAATTAGGGGATCATGACATGCCTCCTTTATTTATGTAAAAATCATTTTATACTAATAATGTTAACATTGTTCAATGCTTCAAACCTAGGCTCACAGTTTTCACATAAAGTTTGAATTTGTAAATAATGCTGTTTGTAATATTATGAATGATGAACAGATATGCTTTTAGAAAGTACAAGAGTGAAGGCAGAAGAAGAAAAGTCATATTTGGTAAATGAGTAGAATATGTTGGGAAATAAGAGGTCAGGTTCCGTCTGGGCAAATGTCAAGGGCCAATCGAATATGTCAATTAGTGCTTGTGGGGAGGAACCAGGATCTGTCTGTGACCTCAATCATAAATCTATACTGAAATCATGCAACTTTGTCAAGTTTTTAATAATGTTCTTATCTGTATGAAAGTTTGATTAGATCAATCATACATATCTCATGCTGTCATGAGAATTGAAATAATTGATATAGAGAAACTAGTAGATTTTATGATATGCAATTAGTATTCAGTGATAGGCCAATGCTGTTATCTTCTTATATTCTCTACTTTTCTTCCTAATATTTCCATATTTTATATGCATTTTGAGTCTTAAGACAAAACATCAATATTTAAGTTTACTGAATTATAAGTGTTGTTGTTGTTGTTGTTATGAGTCTGGAGTCGCTTCTGACTCACAGCGACCCTGTACAGGGTTTCTGAGGCTGTAAATCTTTATGGGAGCAGAAAGCCTCATCTTTCTCCCACAGAACAGCTAGTAGTTTCAAACTGCTGACCTTGAGATTAGCAGCCCTATTCGTATTAGACTATTTAAGTATTAGAAAATATGCTTTCAGCAAACAAGAAGGTAATCATAGTGCAAAGTTGAAACAACTTCATTATACATAATTTATAAAAAATGGATCCAATTTTTTATTATTATTGTATCTCATTGGAATTATCTAGTCAGAGTTTAAAAAAAGTGCATAGTTTTTGACTTTGAGAATACAATGACTTTTTCCTCTCCCTGGAAATATATTTTAATCCTGAAATAAATATTTCACCTTGTTTTAACAATCTGGAGATTACATAGAATTATTAACTTGGGAAATAATTGTTGTTGTCATTAAGTGTCATCGAATCGGTTCTGACTCATAGTGATCCTGTATAGGGTTTTCAAGAATCAACTGGTGGGTTTGAACCACTGACCTTGTAGTCCGGTGCTTACCCTACAGTGTCACACCAAGACTCCTGGAAATAACTAACCATCCTAAAGTAAAATCATTCAACTTGATTTGTCCATTTCAGCAACTCTGGACACTAAGTTGATCCTCTCTATATTTGCAGCTAAGATCTGATTTAGACAATGGAAACAACTCTTTCCGGTACAAGCTGTTGGGAGATGGAGCTGGGAGTATTTTTGTCATTGACGAAAGATCAGGTGATATATATGCTGTTCAGAAGCTTAATAGAGAGGAACGTTCCCTCTACACTCTGAGAGCTCAGGTGATAGACGCCACCACTGGACGCGCTGTGGAACCAGAGTCTGAATTTGTCATCAGAGTTTCAGATATCAATGACAATGAACCCAAGTTCCTGAATGAACCTTATAAAGCCATTGTACCAGAGATGTCACCAGAAGGTATTGCCTATTAATTTATATCAGATCTATGTTAACAATGAAAGCAGATTTTAAATGTTCAAGGTTTTTTTTTTTTTTTTTTTTTTTTTTTAGATACAAATGACTTAAAGTTCTGTCTTAATCCTTCCTTGCACAAGAATGTTTGAGGAAAATATTTGTAAAGTAAATTATTTGTTAAACGTGATACTATCAAATATTTTTGCTAGTTAAATGTCACCCAGTCTTTAAAGCAATAGATAGGTTAAACATGTATTTGAGTGTGTTGCATAGATGTTTAGCTCATTGACTTACTGATACCTTACATTTAAGAGATTATATTCCCAAACAAAAATTATTGTCTATTTTCATAAAGACAAATAAGATAATGGTAGATGATATATACCTGAGAAAGAAAAGACAATCTGTAAGATAACCAAAAAATATGACATGAAGACCCAAAACTAAACAAGATGAATGGACATGATTTTTTGTTTTTCTTCATTTTCAAGCTCCTTATCAAAACTCAGTGGTATTTTATTAACACTTTAAACGTGATACCTATAGGTCTGGTGGTGGTGGTGGTTGTGTGCCATGGAGTCAGTTCTGCCTCATAACGACCCTATGTAGGGTTTCTGAGGCTGTAAGTCTTTACCAGAGCAGAAAGCCTCATCTTTCTCTAGCGGAACCGATGGTAGTTTTGAACTGCTGACCATGAGGTTAGCAGTCTGACTCGTAACCACTACACTACCAGAGTTCCTTATACATCAGAGTGTTTTCTAAAATATGTAAGAACTGACTACTCTTGAAATAAAATATGCCTTCCCATAGAGGGAAACTGTGCCTGTACAAAATGGTCCCTCGTTGTCTGAATGTTCACTTGCCTTTGAATGTCTCTGTGCACCTATTTTATCCTTTGCAGAGCAACCTGTGTAAATATTTTATTGTCTGTTATTTCGGAGCCAATTACTATATATGGGTCTGTACGGTGAATTTAGATTTGGTTTGGAAATGCATATTTAAAGATGTCAATCAGGAAAAAAAAAGGTTACATTTAATATATTAATCTACAAATTAATTGTTGCTTATTTAACATGCATTTATTTTCAATAGTGCTGGGCTTACAGGGATTGTACCTATATTCGAGAGATGATTATTTTCAAACTAAAACCTTCCAGTGAAAATGAGACAAAATGTTGAAGTTTCCCATCTGTCCCTCTCAATTTGCAAAGTTATCATCTTTCTTCCATGCAAAAATCTACAGCTCAATTAAGCCAAGTGGATCTCTGGTGGTGCAGCTCGGGTGGTGAAGTGCTCAGCTGTTAACCCAAAGTTCAGCAGTGTGAGCCCAACAACCACTCTGAGGGCCAAGATGTAGCTGTCTGCTTCCTTAAAGATTACAGCATTGGGCATCCCATGGGACAGTCTTATTCTTTGCTTTAAGGTCACTATGAATTAGAACTGACTCATGAATAGTGGGCTTGATTTTTATTTAGTTAGTTCTATTTCTTGTTTTTTAGGCCAGTGGGCATCGGGTTTGTTGAAGTGGTTGAATGAATGGAAACCCCACTACCACCTAGTTACTGTAACTCATAACAAACTTATACAGGGTTTTTAAGACTTGAAAAAGACTGAAAATCTTTCAGGCAACAAACAGTCTTTGCCTCCTGCAGAGCTGCTGGTGAGTTCGAACTGCTGACCTTGCAGTTAGCTGTCCAGTGCTTAAAATGAATGAAATGTGTATGAAAAGACTATGTATGTAGTTAACTTTATTTGGGAGATAAATTTCATTGTTGTTAAGTATCATGGAGTCTGTTCCAACTCATAGTGACCGTGTATAGGATTTCTGAGTAGTGGCTTGTGTAGCTTGAACCAGTGACCTTGCAGTTCAAACTGACCTTGCAGTCCAGGGCATTAACCTACAGCTTCATACCAGGCCTCCAAAATAAATGAAACATGTATGAAAAGACTACTTAAGTGCTAAGCCTGATATGGGAGATGAAAGAAAGCATCAATGAATTTAAATCCAGAGATCCGCTACAGGTGAGGGTTGAGGCACATGGCAACCTTGGGTCTTTTGTTTATTTCCTAAATAGTGACTCGCCATTCTGGAAGTTTCTGTTGCAGAACCTTCAAAATGCATTTTATGCCATTTTTAAAGTATATGAATAACAATCTATAAAAGATATTGTCTTATCTTTCAGTAATGGTTTCTAGAAAAGGTGAAAATGTTAATTAGAAAATCGATTTAATAAAGACAGCATTAAATATTAGGTTTCTTGTTGTTGTTATTATGTGCCACCAAGTTGGTTCCAATTCATAACGACACTATATACAACAGAACAAAGCACTGATCATTCCTGTGTAATTCTAACAATTGTTAGATTTGAGCCCATTGTTGATGCCACTATGTCCGTTCATCTCACTGGGGATCTTTCTCTTTTCACTGACCCTCCACTTTACCAAACATGATGACTTGACCTTCTCCAGGGACTGATCCCTTTGAAAACATGTCCAAAGAATGAGAGATGAAACTTTGCCAGTCTCTTAAGGAGCATTTGGACTGTACTTCTTCCAAGACGGATTTGTTTTTTAGTAATCCATGGAACTTTCAATATTCTTTACCAACACCATCACTCAAATGCATCAATTCTGCT